TTGAAATCGTCTGCTCAGGACTGTAGTTTGTAACTCTTTTCGGTAGCCGGCAGATATTACTTTCCTTGATGCTAATACCTTTATTAGGAGCAATGAAGCAAGGCGCATGTCTAATTTACAAAAGATTTATCCCCACATTAACTAATGAACTCGTTTGCTTTGTTCATGGGTGGTCTTCTCGGACATAGCGTTTAGCTTACAAAACAGCGAATGTGGATTTCGCGTGAAACGCTGCAGCGTTCCAGTGTTCTTCATTTACATTGCAAGTCCCTGGTCATGCACAAAGTATCTCAGAGCGAAATTGCTTCGCTGCACGGCATACCAAATGATTTATTTTCCGTTTCGAGTTACCGCGCTGAGCGCACGTGTTTACAAGACGATAAATCTTCTCTACAGTATCTGTGTGTATTTAGTAGCCGATACTGGATTACCGTGTAATAGCTGATCGCCAACCCTCGCCAGTAATTGCATGGGGCTCTTATTTAGCATCGCATCGAAGCTGCAATTATTTTACGCTGCACCACTGCGTGCAGACACATAATCAGTATGCGTTCAGTAGTCGAAGTCTATCGGTGATTTATGCCGGTTTATTGAAGCTCGTTGAATGGCCCTAATTGGCACTAGTTCTGCTGGGGTGAGCGAGCAGATCGCAAATATAAAACTCGTCAGTCACGATGTTTTTGCGTGCTTCCATTCAGCGAGAATGACTGGACGATCATTGTGGCGATTCGACAATCTCCCCCGCTGGCGGAGAGCTGTGTCCAGCCACACAGGACCCACTCACTCAGGGCTGTCTGACGTTTGACAAATTAAAGCCGGCGCCGCTGAACTCTTCCCGCCCAGCGGACACGATAAGAAGTCGTGAATAAATGACTTTTGTCAGCACCAATCAAGACGTCCAACTACCCGACAGGGGAGGGGTGGTGTTTGGTGTTTTTACCGGGCGCTTCTCGCTGGCCGCCGTTCGGTGAAGGATGTCTCCACCCACCCAGCAACCCCCCCCCCTCCCCACCTCCCCCTTCCCAGACATGTCTGACACTGGGTCCGACAGCCCCTTCCCCTCCCGACCGAGGGGCGGAGTGCACCTTCGGAGGCGAAACTTAGGCACGCGCTTTTTCGGCGGCCGTTCGTTTGATCGGAATTCGCGGCCCGTTTTTGTGATAGTGTTGGTGCGATAAATTCCCCACCAGGTTGTTTACTGCCCCTCAGAGGCGGACAAAAACCTGATTCCTGTCCAGAGGTCTGAGTAGCGGGCACCGCGCTGGGGGTACCGGTCCCGTCTGATCGGCACCGGCTGGTAGACGGTGGTTTCAGGTAGGTATGCTGTATGGTATCGTCCGACCCATATGCTGTCCGTATGGAGGGATCGTTATAGGTCAGAGCGGGGCCGCCTGCAGCCGCGGTGGCCCGCCTACAGACTGCTAAGCTTTTTCTGAAATGAGACGTCCTTTTTGTGCTGAAACTTGCCGAGAGAAGCCACCAGTAGCCACCACAGCCGACAGTGAGCTTCACCGAGACAGCCACAGATCTGTAGTTACATCCACCATATAACCTCGCTGTGACGGTCACCGCCAATTCGTGTAGTCCGCCATTCCAATCCCTGCGGTCTCGCCCGGCCCGACACGTCCGCCTGTGGCTTTCTGTGCGTCTGTATCGATTAGCTCCTCCTGCGCCATCAGCGACCCAGCTGAGAGCAGATGAATTTAGCTCTCTGTTTGGCCCGAAGAAAGATTCCCTTGTGGTTCTCAATTGTTGCCGATCAGCTGAATTATCGAATAGTGCATTGGATGGCCAAAAATAGGAAATTAAGTCTAGAACGTTGTAAGAGGGACTATTAAAACGCAACGCTAGTAGCTGAAAGTTCGATCATCTTCAGTTCAGTTACCCTTGATGAGAAAGCTTCATTTAACCGTGCACCCACTTGCCTCATTTGAATTCAACCGGCACGACGAGTACGTACTAAAATCGTACTGATGAGCCCCTCGTCGGCTCGTCTGGATTCACGGCGCTCGCTACTCTCTTAGTGCTCGGTCTCTCTGCAGGGACCTGGCGGTCTATGGGGACCCGATGGTCTCCCTCCAGACCTCTCTGAGGAGTCGGACGGACCTGGATCACGTGCGCCGATCTGCGGCACACCTCTCCGATCGACCGGCACTGCGGCCGGCACATCGGTGGACGCCGCCGCCAATTAGGCTGGCCTGCTCTGGAAACAATGGCCCTCGGCCGTGAGCGGCTCTCCGGCCGAGGAAGGAAGTCGGGCGGCCGGCGGTGACCCGTCTGACCTCAATTGGCCGGCCGTTCCGGCGGCTGCGCTCTGTTGGTTAGCGCCGGGATGGGACTCGTCCGGATGGCGCCGAGAGGAAGGGTCATTGGGCCTACCTGGGCCGTCACGGCTGGTGAGTGGGTAGTGAAAAAGGTCACTGAGCCCAGCCGCGCCGTGTTGGGATAGGGACCGAGGGCGGGCTCGAAATGAGAGTGCAATTGAATTCACACGGCCTGGTGCGGTTATGAAATGTCGTACCCAGACACATTTTCAAATCAAAGTAAGCACATGTTGCGCTGTAGGATGTTATGCTAAACTCTCCGGGAATTCGCCAGCTAGAGTATCGGAAAACTCATGGATAAGAGAACTTTTGCCAGAAGAGACGAAAAGCCTATAGCTTCTTCTTCCGTGGACGCATGAGACGATCAAGCTGGCCGTGGACATCGGGTCCTCGCCCATTGATCTTATACCGATAGTCTTCATATCTACAGCACGGATACGGTTGCGGGTCGTGGGCAAATAGCAAATGCGTCAGTGCAGTTTTTCCGCCATTCATGAAACATTATTTTAGCATTGTTAGGTACGAGGCTTTTGCACAAAACCACACTAGCAAATCTAGCTGAGAAAAAGAAATAGCTTCAGACAGGGACGAGAAAATTCAGCGACGATGGCAATGTATCTCAAATACCTTGCAGGTCATCAGAAAGACTCCAGCAAACTGGGAGATGGTGTGCTTACAGGCTTCACCATTAGCTGTATCATCGAAATAAAGTAACTTATTTTTGTCGCTGAAATGGATCTTTAGTTTTGTTTCGCTGTTATTAACGCTGGAAAATAGCGTTTTACTGACGTAAGCGACTCTTGGTGCCTATCTTCTGCGTAGCGCTTCCAATATCTTGGCTGTTCATAAAGGCCGATCAATTATCCTCGGTGGATGCTCAGCGATCAATCCCCATCTCGATTACATCCAATAACGCGCGTCTCCGATAGGACGCCTACAGAATTCAGCTGCTACCAGGAGGTGAGCAGGCTCGATTTTCGGTGATGCACGAACATGTCAGGCGGATAACTGAACTTCAATATGTATACTCTGTGTCTGTGCTACTTTTAATAAAGGCAGCTGTTTACAACATTTGTTCAGATGCTTTGAGAACTATTGTTCCGTACTTGGCCAACCTAATGAAAAGGTAAGTTATGGAAACAACCACACCTACCTATGGATTCGTCGGCAGTAGATAACTAGTCCCTGTTCCAATTCAAAGGTAAGTTTATAGTCTAGAAGTGTTTCATGGCTGTTCAAAAATGAAGAGATTAAGTCTATCTTTCAATTTAAACGCTTCTAGTTTTCCAGGTTCCAGTAAGTCGTAAGTTTCACTTAATCATACATGGGTTATCCTAGAAGTTGTTCGTAGCGCGAGACAACTTCAGCGGACTTCTCAAATAATCCCTTCAACCGTGTTACCATGAATCCAACTTAGTCAATTAGTGCAGTACGCATTTGGACTAACTTTGTTGGACCTTTGTAGCGCCGACACAGCATTGGCCTGATTGAGACAAGTCACCACCGACTGCCGACAGCCTCATTTGCGACTCGGCAATCGACATATTCCGACCGGACCATTAAAAGTTAGCAAAGCTTGATACTGGCAAACTGAGAAGGACCCCGGAAACTGTTCGGAAAGTGTGCACTTCAGTGTTTCTGTTCAACAATTATTTTGCTGAAATTGTTATATGTTTCGTGCGTTCTTATCGGTGCTTTTGATCGGCTTCGAACACGTCAATGAGAAAAGATAGGCAACACATTTCGCACATCACCACAAGCAATGCTGTGTGTCCATTATTCCATAGTACATCGCCAAACATGGCATGCGGCTACACAATACACATAGTCGACTTATTGACGGTCTATAGCACGCACAAAGCCGGCAGCATACTCGGCATTCCGCCGCCGGTTTATCAGCGACCCTCCGGCGGCGGGTTTTTATCGGGCGCGCGCGCGGCCCGTCAGAAGTCTGACGTATCGCCGGCCGCAGCCCCGTCACCTGTCTGGGAGTTTCCGAACACACTGCGAACTCCGGCAGGGAGACAGCCGAACACCGGTGTGGGGACAAGGTCAGCAGCAGAGTCGCAAACAGCGGCTGATAGTCACACCGCCGGAGGTTCTGCGCGCGGCCTCTGACGTCTGTCCCCTGCGACACGATGTCCCCCGGACGTTTGTCATCCGTCAGATGCCCCAGAATTATGCTAATCACATGTGGAATTTATCTGTCGGCATGGAAAACAATTAGGCTGGCGACGTTCGGTCGGAGTCGGTCGTTATCGGCGCCGTATCGTCCGCCTATCATCCCCGCATGTAAATGCTATGAATTCAAATTACGCCCGCCGCGTGCCCCCGGGCGCGCGTCTGATTATGGACGGGGACCGCAGCCGTCCACACCCGGGGGAAGAAGCCGTCCCCATGGCCGCCCACTCAGCCTCCCCGGGCGCCGACGGGCATCGACAGTCGAAAGGCCACCACCGACTGGCATTCAGTCGAAGGTATTCATCTCATTCGATATTCATGCATGCTAATTTACCCACCATCTCACTTTCTAAGGTTACCAGAAGCCGGCGGCGTTTTCCTTCTGCTGACCAGAGCCAACTATTTCTACAGTCGTTATGAATCGGGCACAGCTGACCTTATACCTCCAGCGCTCGGCTGATCTCCCTCCCTGTCCCCGGGGGCTTTGTGACCTACCTCTGGGCTGGAAGAGGTCTCTGGACTTGAGCTGTGTGCTGACCACCCGCCGGCTCTTCCTACCCATCAGTCCGAGCCACACGGTGGTGGCCAGGCTCGAGTCGGCCGTGCGCGCAAACTGCAGCTGGTTGCTGTACGTCTCGCCGGGCCCCAGCGTCTCGGCGAACGACTCCGAACCCGGCGAGCCCAGCTGGAAGTCGTTCGAGTCGTCTCGCAGGTGGCGGGCCGTCCTCTTCCTCGGAGTCGAGTGGCTGGCGGCCGAGGTGCGTGGGTGTCTCCAGATGCGACCTCCGGCCGCCGCCGGCGACTTGTGCCGGCTCTTGACGGAGCGCACGGTCGGCCGACCCGGCCCGTGCCAGGTCACTTTGTCCACCTGCGGGCTGAGCTTGGCCGGGTCGAGTCGGGCGTACACCGGCTCTGCGGGCTCCGGTGGCGGCGGCGGCGGCAAGGCCCGGGGCGCCGCCAGAGGAGGTTTCCTGCGCGGCCGCGCATGAGAACTCCACGAGTCCAGGGTGCTCACATCGCTGACCGGCGGCGCCAGCGAGCAGTAGGTGTTCTCCTTCTCCGTCCCACTGTCCCCGCTGCACGGGTCGCCGCTCTCCACCGTCCAAAACTGTCCGTCACCACCACTGACACCATCCCCTCCCGGCGCGTCGCGCTCGGTGCCGTCAGCGTCCCCGGTCTCCGTCTCGGAGAGGTCCCGCTGCAGAGTGTCGTTGATGACTGCCTCCAGGGACCAGTCGGCCGACTCGTCGCTCTCCATGGCTGACGGACGCTCCTCCAGCAGCAGCGACAGCCGGGTGACTGTCTCGCGCTGCCGCCGCTGGCGTCCGCCGGGCCCCCGCGGCTCCAGCACCGCCGGCGGCTCCGACGTTTCCAGTTTTTCGGCGCACCTGGCCCCCCGGCTGCCGTTTCCGGCACCGCACGAGCCACCTGCCGCGGCAGACGGCGGCCGCACGTGGCCGGATGTCGGCTGATGGCGAGACGACTCCGCGATATTGGCACGCGCCGGTCCCGAGGGCCGCTTTATTGGCGATCGCATCACCAGATAAGTCTCCTCGTCCTCCGGCTGGGGCCGTGTGGAGGGCGGCGGCGGCCGCGTCGCGCTCTCCATGCCCACGAACACGGCGCCGATGTTCTGGTAGGATCGGTACAGCTGCGAGCGCCGCAGCGCGTCGCTGTCGTTACCCGCGTACGACCCGTTCACCTCGTGATAAATCGGGTCGTCAGAGTCCAGAGCGAACCGGACCGACTTGGGTGGCCTCGGCGTCCGCTCGATCACCGTGTTGGCGCTGTTTTCGGCGAACTGCTCGCCCCAGCCGCCGCTGGTCTGGTCGTCCCTGGACAGGGTGGACACGTCGGAGAAGCTCCTGCTCCTCCTCAGCGACCCCTGGGGGCACTCCGTGTCGCCGGGGAGACCCGCCACAGCGCGCTGCTGCTGCTGCAGAGCCGAGAGCACGTCGGCCACCGATACGTGACTGCGCGGCCGGCGGGCGTGCCGCTCCCTGCGCTGTGTCGGAGCGGCTCGTGACCGATCCCCGCGTGGGTACCCGGGGTACGGCGCAGTCACCGCCTCTAGCAGGGAGGGGTCCGTCCTGAGGTGCCCCGGTCGACTGAAATAGAACGACGGCAGCCCTCGGGCGTGGATGGCGCGGGAGGCCTCGCTGGCCGCGCTGCCCTCCTCCCAGCACTCGTGCGAGTCCTGCGACTCACTGAGCGGACTGACCAGCCCCTCCGAGATGCCGCTGTCGCCTCGCTCGCTGGATGTGTTGTGCTGGCCGTCCAGCTTCGCCAGCTGCGGCGTCAGGTGGTACCGCACCGCTTCCGTCAGGGACAGAGCCGACGACGGTGGCGGCGGCGGCGTGAAGCGGCCCTGTCCGGCGGCCGCCCCCGGCGTCGAGACGCTGCTCGCCGTCCGCCGCGCCGCCAGCGATGTCGGGAATCCCGCGGCGCGGCTGTGACGGGTCGCTATCGCGGCAGGATCAGCGGCGTCGGTGGTCCCCGAGGGTCGCCGAGTCCGCTCCGACCCCTCGTGGATCACGGACAGGGCGCGGCCCGACTGACTGACGGGGACGCTACCGGAGGAGTGACCCGAGCCGTGACCCGCCTGGTGCCCCGAGGCGCAGGCGGGTCGCGGTGTGGGCAGCCGCAGCTGCAGCGCGCCGGACACTGATCGCTGGCCGTAGTCGTGGTGTATGTGCTGACCCGTGGTGGTGTGCGCGTGGCATGGCGCGCCCCGGCCCGCACTCACACACGCCTTCTTCACTGGTTTCCGGTGGTCGCTGCGAGTTGCCGACGAGTCACGAATCACTCCGTATATCCGCTCCTCGTTCCTCCTCGAGGCGTCAACTCTGGGATTGGCATCTCGACCGTCATCCCTGGCCGCCGTCAGCTGCCGCTCGCTCCTCTTCTCCTCCGTCAGCTGCTGTGCCTCGGGTGAGTCGCCCTTCAGGGCCACGGGTCTCCGCAGGTCACGACCTGCCCCCGGTTTGTTGGTGAACTCTTTGATGACATCGCCGACAGAGGAAGAGCCGCGACCAGAAGCTCGTGCTGCGGTGTCTCGGCTCAGTCCTCGGTTCGAGTTTCGAGTCGCGTCCCGGGACAAATTTTGAGTGGGGGCTCGATTCGCGTCTCTCGTCGAGTCGCGTCCAACGCGGCCCAGAGCCATCTGATTGCGACCTGACACACCACACGCAGTATCGTCTCCGGGGTTTCGCGTCCCGTCACCGCGCTGCGTGTTGGTCACATCCCTGAGACCGCCCGAGGCGGGGTCGGGGGCGGGAGCGGCGCGGCGTCGACTGTCCACCGCCGCCGGCAGCCGCTCCAATCGCATATACACACTCCCCGAGTCGCTCTCCGGCTCATCCTTACCGAAAATCCTCCTCGGGTCAAACGGATTGCACCTGACCTTGCCCCTGCGCACGGCCTCCTTTTTGACGGGCTCGGCGGCGCGCCGGTCGCGGTGCAGCCACCTGCCGAACAGGTGCTCCGGGTTCTCCTTGTCGTTCTCGGTTTTGAGCACGCGCACCGAGGCCCGCTTGATTTGGTACCTGCCGGAGCCGTTGTCGGAGGAGGTGCGGTCCATACCGCTCTTGCTCAGCGTCCACTTCAGCATCTCGGCGCGTTCCTGCGGGGCACAGAGAGGGGGTGTCAGCGCGTCAGGGGCGGACCCGGCGCACCATTGTTGTCGACGGACCACGGAAGGCCCGACCGTGACAGTGGAACAGTGATGGTGACGGAGATACATTCGGGACGGTCGTAAAAAGTCAAACAACAATGCAGGACAGACAGGGAGGCAGCCAGTCGCGAGGACGGGTTCGCCTCAAAGGGTTCGTGACGAATGCGTGTTGTTGTAACGTGGCGTGGGATGTTGTGCGAGCGCTGTTGTCGGGTGTGCTTTTATGGCCCCCTGGCGACCCAGCAGCCCGAGCGAAGTGTTTCAAAGAGGTGAATGAAATATAGCCAAGGTCATGAAAGGGCTGGTTGGGCATTTGTTTCAACTGTATTGAGCCGTTACCCGCAACGTGAGAAAAGAAGCATAAAAGACGGAGCTGAAAACTTTGGTATTACGTTGTCACTGGTTGGACCTCCGATGGGCTTAGCTTGCATTGTGGTTTATTAGCTCAGCCTCGGTCAAGCTATAGGTACTCGTGGATATGTACGATCCTCTGCTGTCCTTAGTTTAGTAAAACTGAACTAAAATAATTATAATTCGTTTATAACCCTTGCTATTTTAAAACCTCGGAATCGTAATGGATTTTCAAGTGGGCATCATGAACTCCAATTGTATTATCTTATCTTATTTAATAACATGCATGCATGCATGTTAAGATTGTTGTTTCTCGGTTTGTCAGTTTTTGTCTCTTCTCTTCCATTGCAATTTCAAATACTGCTGCCTGCACCCTGGAGGCACCACCGTACCAAGATAAAAACGGGACAGCTTCTTCCACGTACTTGTTTTTGCAACAAGTCGCCCGTGGAGAGAGTTGACCCCGGGCTGTGCCATCAACGCCATAATTGTCTAAACACGGTAGACGAGCGTGGCGCGGGCGCTGCGCCGTCATCGCCGCAATTATGATGCGCGGCGCGATAGTGTCCGGCTGCTTACGGCTATGCACCGTTTTTGCACGCCAGTGCCGGTCCGCTCCCGGCAGGAGCCCCTTCAGATGCGGCGCCGTAATATCACTGGGCGACGGGTAAAAAAGGCTTGGCCTGGCGCCGGAGACATTGATTTATCTCTGGCGCTTCTTGACCCGAGCACGAGCCGTGCGCGGCCACTGCCCCTACTGCTGCCGAACCGCGAGGGTGAGTCAGCAGACTGACTGAATGGCCTAGTGTGAATCGACCTCTGCAGCGGCGGGTGGATGGCATTAGCAGTTAGCGCCCTCTGGTATGATACCTATATCATGACACTCCTGCATGTAAAGTGAGTACCTCCATAACTTATTACGAGTTGCCACAGTCACCCTATCTTCTCACTTGGCACGTGTGCGCCCCGCCGCTCCTCTCCATCACAGGGCTGTCATCCGACACGGAGCTCAGGTGACACATGACATATCCAGTGTCATCTGCATACCCGATGAGGCGAGAAGGACCTCGACGGTGGTGGGTGGTCTGAGGTAACTTTGAGCTTACACGTCCCTCAGAAGGTTCGGTGTAGTATCACATTTTGACACTCCGGCGAAATGTTGTGGTCGTGTTCTAATGTCAAAGGATGGTGATGTCCTTAGAAGAGAAACATGGACAGAACACGATGTGAGCTCTCGCGGATGCTACTTAGCATCATATGAATCATCCATCATGTCTCACGAATGCTAGTGCATCAGCTGCGAACAGCATATGCACGACGTATTCATGTCTAACATTGTTCCTCGTTCTATTTATATTATAGACGGCACCGAAGGCCTAAGTGTGCACCATACGCCGACCATAAACCGTTCCGACATTACCGACTCCTCCCCAAGCTCCCATCGCCATTCATACATGCAGGCACGCAGGCAGCCACTATGCATAAACGGGCATCCGCTCTCCAGAGAGGACGCCGCTCGGGCGCCGGGCGGAACCAGCCGGGAGCCGGTCACGATGGCGGGCGCGTGCCGGACATACTGGCACCGCCATCAGACAGCTGAGGGGTCGTGACGCGAAATTCGGAAACATTGAGGGGCCGGTGAGGGCGTCAAGCGCCGGCCGACACGGGAATATTGCATTCCTGCCGAGCTTTGCCGGTTTAACGGAGATTGGCACGTTGGCTGGACCGGAGAACGGGAACGGCGGCCGCGACGGTAGCGGACCATCCGGGCGGCCGTTCGAGGCGCGCGCACCTCGCTGATGGCACACAGAATGATAATGATCAGAAAGTGGAGACTTTGAGGAAACGATCGCAGCGTTTATAAGCGTATGAAAGTGAAAAGAATGAAATGATTTCGGAATGACATAATTGTCTACGTGCGCCAATTACTGAGAACTCAGTAGCAGAATATGCGCATTTTAAGTGAAAAATAAAGCAGGGTTTTCCCCTCGTCAGCTTCGTAGTTGCATATGCTTTTGGTCGGTCCGACATCCCTGCTTATGAAGGTGCAATCGGAACTGTGACGGCTGAGGAGACTGTTTGATGCTGTTTACATCCTACAAATCCTGGGAATCCGCGTCTCAGGGGATTTCTGTCGAAGTAAACCAGCCAATTTGGCCGTCGGCAGTACCTATACCAGTTGGTCCCAATTTTGCTTTACTGGGTTGTTTTCGACTGTGTTCTGTCGCCGGGACAGTGCCGCTGTCGGCTGTCGAGTCGGCGAAATGGTACAAACCGCCCACGGCCTACCGATGCAATGGGCCGATGTTTCGGCCATATACCGTAAGGTGGGGCTATTTGAGAGTCGAGACAGTGGGGCTATTTGAGACAGTATTTAAAATTGTTATTAAATAAAAACCGTTCGAAATTTCTGCTTAATTTTTGCTCAGGCGATTTACCGCTCAATTCCACACCTTTCTGAGCAAAAATATTACATAAAAATCAAACGCTCTTCATTTTATAGCGATTTTAAATACTGTCTCAAATAGCCCCACTGTCTCAAATAGCCCCACTTTACGGTACCTGTTTTATCTGTTTTTGTTTGATGTCACCAGCACTGACAGGGTGAGAACTGAAAACACAGCGGCGCGTCCTCAAATCTCAGCGCGGAGGAGCGAACGTCTTTACTGCCCCGCAAGAACGTGGCCCGCATTCAAACGGCAAACCAGCCACCACCCCTTTCAGCCAGGGACGAAACCCCGGACCGAGGCGAAACGGGCTCTAAATCTACCTGGAAGGCTGGTGGACCATAACACACCTTTTTGTCCGCTGGTAGATCTATCTGGGCCCGCGGGACGGCTGCCCCCAGTATTTTTCGGCCCGCGGTCGGCCGGTCGGCCCGGGGCTCCGCAGTCGGGCTCCCAGAGCGCTGAATAATGACAGTCATAAAATGGGCGAGCTACAACAAAAACCGTGTCGTAGCCGGGACCCCAGGCGGGGCCGGCGCGGGCGGCGGCGGCGGCGACGGAGGAGAGTGGACACTGGCCGGACGGTTGTGGGCCGGCGACTCCAATGGAGACCGGCGGCCCGTCGTCGGTTCGATTGGCCACCGTTGACCAGTCGCTGTGTCCCCGCCCACGGTCGCCACCGCCGCCAACCGCCACTGTCGACCGAACAAAGCGGACCGTTCGCGGGCACCTTCTCTGTCTATCTTTTGTCAACGGTTCCGGTGAGTATGTGTGCGTCGGTCTGTCTGTATGTCTGTGTGTCTGTCTGTGTGTGTCATCTATATGGAAGCCTGGCTTGGCGTGTGTCAGAGCCATCTGACGCCCTGTCGG